ATCTCCATCAAGGAGAGGCCAGCAGGTTGCCCAGGTTGGTTAGACGGCTCGGGTCGCTGCCGGGAGACAGGCACATAGAAGTGGGATGCCCCATGCAGGTTACGCCTGGCTCCATCACGAACATCGAACCCGGATCCCACACGAACAAATCCGGTAAGAACTCCCCAAACCTGTCACTCGATCCATCGAGGTAACTTTACCGACCCCACTTTTCTTTTCCATTACATGAGCATTCATTCATCCATTCTCATGCATGCATTCATACATTCATTCATACATTCATCTCATACATCCAAGCATTGCATATGCAATTATTGCATCACAACGCTTTGCGTCGTGTCACGAAGCGGTAGTCGTCTCATTCGACATGAGCGACAACCGACCGAGGTTCAAAGGCTGGCCCGCAAAGGGCTCGAGGCCGCCTCATGCCAAATAGAGCCAGGGGAGAAAAACATAGATGAGCCCCAACGGCCTTGCCCAACCCCGCTCAGAAGCGGACAGGGACATCTAGACCTTTCTCGTTCGATCCTAACATTGAGCCAGGCCCACAGAATCTCTATCGAGGAGAGGCAAGTGGGCCACCCAAGCCAATCGAACGGCTCGGACATCTACCGGGAGCCGGGTTAACGAGTAGTGGAATGCCACATGAGGGCTATACCGACCCCGTCAGCGAATGACGGACCTGGATTCCACTCGGACGTGCCTGTTAGCGAGCTCACCGAGCGCGAAACTCGAGCCATCAAGGCAAGTATCGTTAGCTCAGCCCCTCCGGTTGCGGAAACCGAGGATGGGGTGATGCAAGAAATCTGGCCGACCCCTACCGACTCCCACGGGGCTTGGGGGCTCGAGCCGCCTGACCCAAACTCAGGAATCCATCTGACTAGGGTTCGAAGGCCAACTCGTGAAGGGCCTGAGGCCGCCTCGCATCGAACAGAGCCAGGGGAGAAAACGCAGATGAGCCCCAGCGGCCTTCGCCCGACCTGCTTAGAAGCGGATAGGGTCATCTCAACCTTCTCGTTCGATCCTAACCTCGAGCTGAGCCCGCAGAATCCCCATTGAGGGGAGGCCATCGGGCCACCTGAGTCACCCTCCAGAACGGCTCGGGCATCTACCGGGAGGCGGGTTAAGGAGCAGTGGAATGCCACATAAGGGCTATGTCGACCCCGTCATAAATGACATACCCGGATTCCACTCGAACATGACCGTTAGCGAGCTCACCGAGCGCATCACTCGAGCCATCGAGGCAAGTGACGTTAGCTCAACCCCTCCGGTTGCGGAAACCGCGGATAGGGCGATGATCACAAAGACGAGCCGACCCTCGACCGGACCCCTGCTACGCGCGGGGGCTCGAGGAAAGTTGGACTCGCAAGGAGACCGAACACGCGGTCGTAGAACGATGGCTCAGAACCTATGGAGGGGGTACGTGCAAAAACAAGAGATGTTTTCTCCTACTAATTTTGCTATCCTCTCCTCGATCTTTAGTGACACCTGACCCCAGCAACGGCAAGGGGTCGGATCTCACTCGGGGGCTGATAAAGGTATAAATACACCCTTTCTAAAACAGTCGCCGCACCCGATCTCTCCCTTGCCTCTTTAAACATCAACTGAACCCACTTTAAACATCAACTGAACCCAAAAAAACTATGACAACTAAATATAAAAAACTACTTAGCACAAAAAAATACAACTAACCGTAATCAAATACAAAAGCTTCACCTTTAAAAAGCAACCTAAAAAAATTCTCAACCTAACCTAAAAATCACAAAACAAACCTTCTACAAATCTCATCTAAAAAATTAGAGACAAAGAAGAAACAGGCAAGCAAAGGCATACTCAGATCCAAACATCAGAAATACAAAAAAACCAAAATAAAAAATAAAAAACACAAACACACACATAGAGAGAGACACACACAAACGCTCTCTCACACACACAAAGAGAGAGACACACACACAACCACACAAACAAACACACACACACACACACACTCACACTCACCCCCCCAAAGGTAGCACCCACACATAGAAACACTCACACTAAAAAAACTCACATACACCCACACACATAGAATATAACAGTTAGATAAATATTGCCCTAATACATCACCCAACTTTTTCAATTTTGATTGACAAAAAAGTAACACTATCAGGTATGACCAAAAAGAAAGAAAAGGGCACGACCATACAAAGCTATGGCAACAACTACATGTTTTAACAAACGTTGACTATTCACAATTACTTATTTTACAAAAGATCAGCAGTATGATTAGCTACATCAGCAAACACTATCTTAGTAGCCATAACAGTGGGCTGAACTTAAAATATGTGCCATTGCAAAATGTTCCCTGATCCATATAGCACACAAAAAAAGTTTGGCAACTACGCTATTGAAACAACTATATCGCCACAATACATGTGCCCTGATCCGTCCCAGGGAGCTCAAAACACACATAGGCAACTCAAAACTTAACTGGACAGATACCCCCCGATGACTGTCTGCTTGCAAGACAATGACTACACCTAATCTGCTACAACTACAAGTGCAATAGAAACCAGATGACAATGTAACCACACAAGGTTCATCTCGCACATCAATGAAATAGGTAACTATGAAATGCCAAAGACCATAACACCTGAGTGTGAGTGCTTTTGATTTAAAAGGGTCTACCAAACACCTAAAGAACCAACAGCTTTCAGAACTCCGAAGATTAAACTGACATATGATTACTGGAATCAGAAACACAGAACAAATATTTGCTGCAAAAAGAGGGTTCCCAGATCCATATAGCACGCACAAAAAATAGACAACTATAGCGCCTCAGACCCTCGGTAAGGGAAAGCTACAATCTCAAACACAAACAGCCAACTCAACCCAACACCATTGGAATCCATCCCGGTTGAGATCCTCACCAAAATCTTGCTCCCCCGCCTCGACGTCGGCCGCCCTCGTCAACGCCGCGGCCGCATCAACGAGCTGCCACTGAACCATCACACCCACATCGGCACCCAAGCAAAGGCAGCACTCACAGCGGCAATAGCTCCTCGAATTAGCGGCAAAAAAGTACAGGAACAAGAAACTTACGAAGAACAGCGACAGATCCTTCAATCAGCAGTAGCTCCTCTGCGGCCGTTGGAACAGGGAAGCGGCGGCGACGACCGCGCCCCACCCACAGCCCGCTGCGGCACAGGGCGAGCAGCCATGAGGATAGTGCCCCACCCCCAACACCCGTCGCAGCTCAGGGGAAAGGCCGGCGAGGGCGCCCCTCCTCCACCCCACCACCACCACCGTTCGACGCTGGCGCGGGAGAAAAGCGGTGGTGAGGACCTGAACGGCTTGAGCGACCGCGCACGGACAAGACGTGATTGGGGGAAAAGTCCGTGAAAAATAATAGGCTCACGGGTTCGATAGGCGCCGTTTTGGACCCGTTAACGAGTGTATACGCCGAGAAGCTGCACGAATCCTAAAGCAAAAATGAAGGGGCCATAATTCAACAGATAAAAATCAGAAAAAACTGTCAACAGATATATAGCATAAATCTTTTTTAAATTGTTAGATTTAACTTCGTGAACCCAATTTTGAAGGTGTTTTTGGCTAACGTGTTCAAGTCAGTCACGAGGGAGGTAAATTGAACTTCCGCAAAAGTTTAGAGGTTATTGGACTTTAAGAAATATTTTTTTTCAAAAAATTATCCAAGTAGTTTTCTCAAAAAAAATACGCATTTAAAATATTAAAAGCTAATTTAATCTTAAAAAATTTGTTTTAACTTAGAAAAATATGAAACTTGTTTCATTTTTTTTTCTAAAATCATGCTCTGTGTTTTTCTGAGCTAGACACCGAAATATAGAGCATGATTCTAGAAAACGCATGAAGTCGGCATCCCGAGCACCTCCAAGTTGCCTTCCTGCTCGACCAATTGTCATGTATTAATTACTAGTAGCTCGTAAGAGATGAGGTTATATGGTGTATCCGCTGATTTCATTCTATAAACTAAAAAAAAAAAAAGTAGTAGTTGAAAGACAGTTCATGACTAGACCAATTGTCGATCTAGTTCTTTTGAATGATTCTGTGATTACTGATTAGGTTCATAATTTCATCCAAAACGGGGGACTTTCGAAAATATTGGCTTAGCTGCTGTATGCTGGGCTCTTTTGAGATCTAGAAATCATATTTGTTTTATAGGAAGAACTCCTACTGAGATTGTTCTGCCAGTTGAAGAATGGAGCTGACATCTTCAAAGAAACGATGTTGCACTATCATCAGGAGGGAGAAGCCAAGGATCATGAACTAGCGCTGATTGCAACTGGAGGAGCGATGGCCTGGAGTCCTTTGCAATGTTGTTTGTGTTGGACATTAGTTTAGCCTAGGCTTTCGGTTTAATTTGTGTTGCTTTGCCTGTATGTGGCGTCCTGGACTTTGTCGTGTTGGTTATGTTCGTTGTGTCATGTGTCTGATGTGTGGAGGGGACGCGGCGCGGACCAGTAGTAGCTGTTAAGCTGAGCGTGCTAGGAGCCTTGGAGTAGGGGGTAAGGAAGCCCTGTGTTCTCTGCTCTGTTTTTTCTAGCTGTCGGTTCTAGTTCCTGTTTGCTTTCATTGGAAACCGCTTGCGTGCTATAGACTCCATAGTTTCGTTGCTTCTGGTAATGAAATTCGGGCGTGCCTCGGTGAAGAAAAAATGATTTACTTCTGGAAGACAGTTTGGAATTTTGAAATTGAATGAGCTTTTGGTAACTGAATTTACTTCTGAAACCCACATACAATAGTGATGCAGAAACATCTGGGCCACAAAAGGCGCCCTCGGCTCCTTGTCCAAGTGTCCAGAGATAAGCAGCCACAACCCCTGGCCAGTGGCCGCCACTCCACACTCCACGACATTCACCACCACCCTATCCCTGCAGCTCCCGTCCAAAGCGGCAACGTGCATGACAGACGCCACTCGCGGTACCGACGCGGCGGCGGAGGCACAGGGACTGGCGGCCCATCGTCGTCGTCCGCGCCGAGCAATGGCGTCCCCACTCCTCTGCGTCCTCCTCTACCTAATCCGCCACCTTGCGGCCTGCCACGCCGCAACCGCAAGGGACACCATCACGCCGGGCAGCCCGCTGGCGGCCAACGAGACGCTGGTCTCGGGCGGCGAGGGCAACTTCGCGCTGGGCTTCTTCACCCCGCCGGGCGCCAACAGCACCTACCTCGGCGTGTGGTACAACAAGGTCTCCCTCCGCACCGTCGTGTGGGTCGCCAACCGCGAGGCCCCGATCGCGGGCGCCGTCGGGGACAACCAGGGCGCCACGCTCTCCGTGTCCGCCGGCGGCACGCTCGCCATTGCCGCGGGGAACAAGACCGTCGTGTGGTCCGTCCAGCCGGCGTCCAGGCTGGCGAGCCCCACCGCCCAGATCCTCGACAACGGCAACCTGGTGCTCGCGGACGGCGTCGGCGGCGCCGTGGCGTGGGAGGGGTTCGACTACCCGATGGACACGATGCTCCCGGAGATGAAGGTGGGGATCGACTACGTGAAAAGGAAGAACAGGACGCTGACGTCGTGGAAGAGCCCGTCCGACCCCTCCCCGGGCCCCGTCGCCATGGTGATGGACACCAACGACGACCCCCAGGTGTTCATCTGGAACGGCGGCGAGAAAGTCTGGCGCTCCGGCCCCTGGGACGGCGTCCAGTTCACCGGCGTGCCGGACACCGCCACCTACTCCGGCTTCACCTTCAGCTTCATAAACAATGCGCAGGAAGTAACTTACAGCTTCCAGGTACGTACTTATTAACAGATCATCTACAACGTAACAACACCTAGCTCCATTTGATTGCTTATTAGATGCAAGTAACCATCACATTGGACGACGATGCAGGTGCACAATGCGTCGATCATCTCGCATCTGGGTGTCGTGAGCACGGGGAACTACGGGCTGCTGGCAGCTGCAGCGTTCGACGTGGGTGGAGGCGGCGCGGGCGTGGAACCTGTACTGGTACGCTCCCAAGGACCAGTGCGACGCGGTGTCTCCCTGCGGCCCCAACGGCGTGTGCGACACCAACAACATGCCCGTCTGCTCCTGCCTCCACGGGTTCACCCCGAAGACCCCCGCCGCGTGGGCGCTGCGGGACGGCCGCGACTGGTGCGTGCGGTCCACGCCGCTGGACTGCCGCAACGGCACCGACGGCTTCATCACGGTGCGCCACGCCAAGGTGCCCGACACGGAGCGGAGCGCGGTGGACGGGTGCCTCACGCTGGAGCAGTGCCGCCAAGCGTGCCTCCGGAACTGCTCCTGCACCGCGTAAGCGAGCGCCAACGTCAGCGTCGGCGCCGGGGGAGGGCGCGGCAACGGCGCCGGCTCCGGCTGCGTCATGTGGACCACGGGGCTCACCGACCTGCGCGTGTACCCCGACTTCGGCCAGGACCTCTTCGTCGGCCTCGCCGCCGCGGATCTCGGTACGTACGAATCGAACGCCGCCCTGTTTATGTACTCCGTATTGCGTCGTTTACGTCCACCATGGTAGTACCATGCTTCGCTGCATGGGATCTCGTATATTCGCATCAATACCGTTGTTCAGTCCATAGCATCCAGAAACGTGGAATATGATCAGGTTCCTCGTTCCGGGAACATCCACGTTTCTGATTACGAAATATTTACGTTCTCATGTTATAAAATGATACTTACGTTCTCGTTCGTTCCTGTTTCACGTTCTCGTTCTCTCGTGGAAACATGGCTGCTAAGGTTCAGTCCGTCCAAAACAGAGTTGCCCCTGCCTTTTTCCGCGGATCGCCGTCGTCGGTGACCACTGTCCGGCAAAGAAGACGGCGAGAGGCACCGAGCAAGGCGTCCTGATTCAGCCGATGGAGAGAGAGATGGAGGGAGGCCATGTGTTATCCGTTTTTATTGGAATGCTACAGGACACATGTGTGTTTCTTGGTTTGTTGGCACATGGATTTTTGTTTCTCTCAGGCGAAGCTTCTGTCTGTTCCATTGGCTCCAGAGTCCGTTCTGGTTTTGGCACATGGATTTTTGTTTCTCTCAGGCGACGCCTCTGTCTGTTCCATTGGCTTCAGAGTCCGTTCTGGTTTGGTTGTTATTTGGGTCCGAACACTGGAGGCCGCACCCGCTAAACTCTAGCCTAGCCGCCGCCCTATTGGAGTGCTCGACCACCGCTCCTCTGGCTCTCACTCCCACTCTCTCAGTGAACCAACGATTTCTCAGTGACCTCGGCCGCTGCTCCTGTCTCCGCGCCGCTGCTCCTATCTCCGCGCCGCCTTCCGCCTAGCGCTGTCCTGCTCATGCGCCGACAGCTCCTGTCCCCTCCGCGACCGCTTACTCCCCTATGGCGCCTCCTCGGGCGGGTGGCGCCGCGGCGCCCCTACGCCCTGCGCACCAGACCGGCTGCACGGTGGCCCTAGCGACGGGGCTGACACACCAGCGCTGGGCGTCCCCGGCGTGGCAGCCCGGCGCAGGCGGGCCGATGTGCGCGATGGCTCAGGCACAAGCGGCCTGCCTGCTGATCTGCTGCAGCGGCCATGGAATCGCACGAATCGGCGGCGAGGCTGCGCGCGACGGCGGTGGCCATGGCCAGGACTCCAGGAGCTCATGCGGGACCGACTCGACTACCTCCTCCATCGACGGCCGTCTACCTCCCCGGTGACAGCCTTCACCGCTGCACGGTTTGCACCAAGCAAAGCAACAACCATGTCGCACAAGCCCGGTACGTGAGTCGGCGACTCGTCGATCGCATCACACGGCTCCCCGTTGCATCCATCTCGCCTGCAGCACCATAGACGGCCACCGGATCGAGATAAACGTGGGCTGTTGCACACTCGCACTGCTGAACAACACTGCACACCGAGTGCTCGACGGATTGTCCGTGAGATCTGAGAAGTGTAGATGGTTCATGGCTTCGGCAAGTACGGCAAGCCTGCCGCCACCACCGTCCGCCTGTGGGATGGCTCCGCGGCACTCCATGCGGACCTCAAGGCCACGCAGGTCGCGCTCGCCGCTGGACACGTCGACCTCGCTGACCTCCACGCCCGCGTCCGCACCACCAACCAGCTCCTCCAGACGCTCCTCCGCGCCATGCAGGACAACACGGCTAGGACCTCTGGTGCGTGATTCGTCCTTGTTCTTCCTCTTTGTATCTATGTTCCTCATCGGTTGCATGATTTATCCGATCCCCTTTCCTGATGTGGTGTGGATTTGTTGGATCCCCCTTCCTGATATGGTGCTTGATTCTTCCTCTGGTGTGAGGAGCTTGTTCTGTTGTGCTGTTGGGATGAGATCTATGAGCAAGGAGAGGGGTTCGCCCTCTGCTGCAGAATCAATTTCCGATTCAATTTTGGGTTGAGCAGATCTGGAGCCTAGGTTGTGGCAGTGCACACATTGATTTGAGCAAATAGAACAAGAGTGTATCGGAGGGAGCGAGCATGGATTGGGCAAACCAGGAGGTCTTAGCGGCAAGGTTAAAGCAAGGAGTCCTCTAAAGCAAGACTCAAGTGTGGCGTTGTTTGTGTTAGTGTGTGGTGCAGGAAAGTATTTTATGAAGGTAGGAGGACATGGGAGGGATCTACATTCTGTCAGTCCATGGATTTGTTGGAGTACATGGGAGCTTCGCTTCATTCAGTTACCCAAACAAGCTTCAATGCTTCATTCACCCATTACCTGTCACTCACCTCATTCTGTCATGGCCTGTCTTTTTCTCCAACACCTAGTCATTGCCTGCCTCTCACACTCCTCTCTCTGTTGGCATTCTAGGGGTGCTATCCAATTTGATTTTGGACGCTACTGCTGCATTTCCTAATATCTATTGCACTCTGCCTTCACGCTGCAGCCACCAAATAGATAGCTGAGTAGAAATAATAAGTCATAGCCATCAGTACAGAGTAAAAAAATTATGTGCAACAAACTATCAGTAGGCCAATAAACTTATTTCCTAGTAGGAGACTAAGATTAAAAATCTTTGTAAGCGTTTATCATCATTTTCCGTGTGATCTTGTTGGTGTGGTGTGACATTTCAATGCTTCTGCTTCTAATGTGTTGGCAAACTCTTGAATCAGGATGAGAGGGAAGAAGATGTCATATTCAGTTTTGACAAGGTGTTCTATGAAGACGCGCAACAGTCTGATGTCTAGAAATTCCTTGATGTGCCCATTGTGTCAGTTTTTTTGTTCCATTCTAGATTTGTTCTTCAAGATAGTCAAAGCTGTTTTTGATCACTGCACTCTTATCATAACTAGATTATCTAATAGTCATTTTCTATATTCTGGAAACAGATGCCATCAATGGAATAAGTGGCACTATAATTACTTATGGTCAGGTATCTATTGCTCCATACACATACACTCTGTACCCTGATTGACCATGTGACAGTAGTACACTTGTTTTACTGCACAGGATGTATATGTGTATCCACTTTTTTCCTCAAAGCAATGCTCGCCGTATTGCAACTTTCCAATTTACTGTATACAGTCATAATTTGTGGTGCACCTATATGATCAATGTCTTAGTGATCAACTTTTAACCATAATGACATTTTCTAAATTTGCTTGTGTCTAGACTGGGGCGGAAAGACATAGAGCATGGAGGTAAATTAAATGTCCTTGAGCTTTAGTTTATGGGATAATTACTAATCATGTCTCTTCTATCTTGACCTTACACATTTATGTAATTTTGAATGTAATATAGGGGCCAAGCATCTTGCATTGTAGTGAACAGAAAACCGGACTAGTACAGCGAATTGTGGATGAGCTTTTTGTATGTTTAGGATCATCAGCAAGCACATGGACTGTGAAGTTGTCAATGGTAACATACCAGCCTCATGCTGATTTAGCATCCACATTGCTAGTTTTCCCCCCTTAGTTGTTAGGTTTACTGAAGCTGAATAGTAAAATAAGTTATTTACCATGTCTCAGGTGGAGATATATTTGGAAAAAGTGAGGTGAGTATTTGGTAGAGAATTTCTCATACTTCCTCTCTAGAAATGTTTTTTAAAGTGCTGCTATGGAGAGGGTCAATTTTTATCTGTTCATATCTCAGGGGCCTTCTTGACTTGTCCAAAGACAACTTGTAGATCAAGGAAAGTAAAACCCAAGGAATTTACATTTCTGGAGCAACAGAGGTCAGAAGAACATGGCACCTTCTTTCCATTCTAATTTTCTGTGATATTCAGAAAGAAGTACTTGGCATCAGGACCTCCATGCTTTCACATTGATATCTGGAATTTGTTCAATTACCCATGCAAATATCTATCTTGAACAGTTCAGATGCATTAGAGAACCTTTCTGTAAGTCTTCTTGAGCTTTACTTGGAGTGCCTTTCTATAAGCAGATACTAATAGCCACTTCTTTATATAGAGAAAGATTCTCCCATTGTATCTTGTGATGATTTGAGATCTGTTTGGACTATTCTAATTTTCTCAATTTTATTGATAATAAATTGACATCATTGTGTGTTCTGTCATATGGTGTTTCATGCACATGCACAGTTTGCCAGGTGCATGTATGATGTATGAGTTGGGTAATTTGAACTATGGTTCAGGTCCATTTCTGTCGATCCATGCTTTTCTATATCCAAGGAGGGCTTCTTGTTTGTATTGCACGGTTGTTTTTGATTCATTTAAACCATTTGGGCATGGATAGTATAGTACCAATTGTGCTTTTGTGTCTCGCGAGCTAAAGAGAATATTATTATTGGATTCAATATTTCAGTTATGTGTTGTTCTTAAAGCCTCTGTGAGTTGATTAAATTTTTTGTTATCCATACTAAATATTACTCACTCCAGTATAAAAAAGATGACCTTAGGATGGCTTATTTTTATTCACTATAGACTTTGTTTTTTTTTGTTATTCACTATAGAATTTGTTAGTATATGATGTCAGGATGGCTTAGTTTTATTTACATGCTGAGATCTGTGCATTGTTAATAGGAATAACTTATGATGTCAGGAATAATTATTCTAGTGTTCTGTTTTTAACTCTGTATCTCCTCTGCCATGTGCCAGGTAGTCTGAAGTGCAATTATGTATGTAGTATCCATTTCTTCATTGCACATTTATAAGTAGTAAATTGTACACTTAAATTACTGCAATTATGGTGTTTAATATTGTGCAATATCCAGTCTTTATATATAACTTTCCCACTTTTTTTCTTTTTTACATTTGATTAGGCATGAAAAACATATGTTCAGAAAGCTTGCACTAGGAAAACTATTTACTCTAATAGTCAAGTGTAGCATCATTTCGATTGTTTGATGATGAATAATATTGCTCTAACCTGGATCAGTGTTTGCAGCTGAATT